TCGAAAAGCACAGCGACTTACAAACTGTCATATCTATGACAGCCTAAATTCACAGTGGAGCAAAGCATTGAAAGTTGGCAATTCTCCAAATGTATGTGAATAAGTGACCAAAACCTATGTCGATTTGCCAGTTGGCACTGCATCCCGGAAAAATAGCGACCTGATTGTCGCACCGGAAATCACCGCATGCTCAAAACGGATGTTAAGATCTGGCGGATCGAACAAATATACTGTAATCTATGTATATCAAATGACCAGTTACACGGCTGTAAATGAATATGCAGTGCTTTTGAAAAATTATAGCGTCACATTAAATTTAGGCTGATTGGTGGTTACGGAAAACTTTCTTTGGTAGCGGAATTTTTGAATTGCGTTGTCAAAGTTTCAAGCTGTCGTATCGATACTGAAAAGCACGCACGCCTGTGGTCGTTTCTGCGCATAGATTGACAGACCTTGTGCTTATTTTCTCATATCTGCTACAATGAAATTAATACTAACTTTTCTTATTCAATTTTTACGCAAAGTTAAACGGATACCCAACTGGAGGAGTTTACACGACATCAGGTGCAGCTCAGCTGACTTTTACTGTAATTATCATCGGGTTATTCAGAATTCGTCACTGAGGTAAGTCAACATACTGCTCAATTCGACTGTAAGTTTTTGCACCGATTCACTGTCTTATCGGGTTATCCCAGATATGATCGGCGGTTTATCCTGACTTCCTTGTCCTCTGAATTACTCGTACACTCCATCTATACAAAACCGTTGTGCTGTTACAAAGGAAATACGTATAGTTATGGGCAAGCGTTCCCAAGTTTGCTTGAATAAATCTAACGAGACAGTGGTTTTTGCATTTAAGGTGCTTCAATGCTGAGCGTAGCCAATTAAAGTGCCTGCTTACGGGCGTGAAGTGAGTTCTCGTAGGCAAATATGTAGATCATGTAAAGTTGGTGGTGACTGCGAAGACCAATGCTTCCTGGTTGTGGTGGATACTCAGAAATTCTGATAAGGTACTTGTCGTGTAATTGAAGCCAGCCTATGCTGAAGATTTATAAACAATGTGCATGTGGTTCGCCGTTATTGGGATTCCTCAGCTCAACTCCGGGGAGTTTTGGACACACGACCTCCCGATTGATAGTTTGAACCACCTAAACCTTCGGACAAGTGAGGATGAAACTAGAACCGCTCATTCTTCAATCATGGAACCCACATCACACGGTCGTGTGTTGACTGACTAGCTCTTCAATTGGAAGTTTCGTTGATCGGCAAATCAACTTAAAAAGTCATCAGCCGAACAATCGATCTATCGGCACTTGACCACGTGGGGAGAATTCCGTGACTGAAGAACGGATGCAGGCCACTCATAGTGTTGACCAACAAATCTAGATAATCACCGAATTCTGATAAGTAAAACTGTGTTTGAGAAGGTAAATCACATACGACGGGTCTACCTGTAGGGAATCTAACAGGGTACTGAAAACTGAAACTTTCACGCCGTATTTACTGAAGCTCAGAATAATAATAGACCGTTTTCTTCAAGAACCTCATACATGAACTGCCACTCCTATGTTACGCCTATGTTACAATGCCAACGTCCACTATTAGACATCGTAACAATAAAAAAAACAATCACCCATCAGCTGAATTCAGCAGCAGAGGAAATATCATTTAAGAAAAACCACTTTAGAAGCTCAGAGAATTTACTCATGAAATGCAAACGTATTCCTCCCGGTTACGTGCAACCAGCTGGCTCGCTAAACCAGTTCGCTGTCCACTTTTCATTCGATTAGTGTCTCACGTCCGTTTTGGGCTGTTCTTCCATTTCGAAAAAGCATGGCGCTTGCTCGGCTTCCTAGCTTTCGGTCACTTTATAAGTGGACAGCGGTTTTGTGTACGAACTTTCCTGATCGATAATACTGGTCACACATCGGCTGCTTGACAAGTGGGATAAACAACTTTTGGACAGTGGACGCAAAAAATGAAGCACACACACGCATATACATATGCGCACTCACGCCGGAAAATCACATCGTCCCATGAGGATTGCTGCTATCTGATTTGCGCTCGAAAACTGGTTTTGTCAAAATTAAAATAAGGGTAGATTGAAAGATTTTGGAAAACTCAGAGTCGCTGTTGGTGTTGTGGCAATGAAGGAAAATTTGGTAACAGATGAGCGACTACCGTGCAGGTAGATACTTTGCTCGATTAGAGAAAAATAATGCAACCAGATACCCCTGCTTACATATTTGAGTATAGACCAAGAACGGTGCTGTAAAAATAAAAAGGATCCACGGTTCTAACAAGCAATAACTGTGTTAACCATGACTTGAGTTCTTTAAATGAGAAGATACCTGGTAAATATGCACACCTGAATTTAACCAATCTAATAGGTACAATAATAGAAGTGGTGCCCTACAGTGATTCATCTTCGAATATTTCTTGTCTCCGCTGTATGAAAGTCAGCAACCATCCATGCCTTTGGCTTGACATAATGTACTTTTTTGTCTCACTAGGAAGAGAAACCTTAGAGAGGACTGGAGCTTCTCTGCCGGGAGGTGGTAATCATATGGGTGAAACAAATTTTCGTGAAAAGTGAAAAATGTGTGGTTGCGTGTCGCCTGTGATTTATCTCCCAAGATCTAAGAACACCGCGTGTTTACACACACATGTCATTTGATTCCAGTTATCCCGGACAAGGTCTTCGAGCAAATCACAGCTTTACTGAACTATGATGCTCCAAATATGAGTGTTTTGGACTAACGCACTGCCTATAATTACACTTTGGAGAGGTAACACTAAGATGAAGAAGCGACTAGCCATCTTATAACCATAGAGTCACTTAATGGCGTCTGGCACTCACGTTTCTCTCACTTTCTGCAGTGAAATAGAAATCTGCTATATTTGTGAGTTCTAGGATAGCTGCACTTCTCACTTGCAAGCACCTGCGTACTACCTCGCGAGGCGGTCGATCGTCCGGGTGAGAATAGATGAATACCATGCCAAAACGGTAGAAGTGTATGCACCCTAATCTATTTGATCCGCGATATCGCTTCAGGTTACAATATCACTGTGCGGTAACGAAGTAACTCAACTTTCACATCACCATAGGCAGTAGGAGATAGCCGGCCTATTTCTAAAGAAGATGGATGGTACCAAATGGCAAGACAAGCTCACCGCCCTCTGGATCCGCCTAAACGGCCATACGGCGTGGCTATCAGGAATGCGGATTGCAAGTGTGCCTGCTGTAAATAGAAGTTGCACTCTAACAGTGCCATGTCCTAAAATTGCATCTTGGCTTTCCTAGTTCAGTCAACAGCTCCTGCATTGAGAATCCGACTAGTTGACAACTCCACTATAAGCTTTCATCATCATCGTCTCCTTAGTTATTCAACCGATCCACTTGTACTTGCACGACGCAGAGGGTGACAATGTATATGTCATGTGAGGAGAGAACCACACTGTGTGGTTGGTCTGTTCGTCCAACTGAGCATTGGATATGCAGGCTTTTCATCATAAATTGAGGTGACATTCTCATTCAACCCGGTACTGGCGATGGCACACAGATTGATGGCGGAACATTTGCAATCCATCCACCAAGCTCGGTAAACAGACAGATAATAAAGAAACACAAGCAAGCCGCCTATATTTCGCAAGTTTGCCAATCAACAATGTGCCAGACAGATAAGTGTAAGCTGTTTGTAGCTGCTAGAAATGGTGGCTATTGCAAGTCGCTCATGATCAACCACTATTACCTATCGGCGTTAGCACACCACGAATGAGGAAAGGAGACGGGAAGTTGCTCCATCTTCATACTGTAGAGGTGACTAATTAATAACCCGGAGTTGAGAAAACACGGATAAGAACAACTGACTTGTGCAGAACGGTTACTTTTATAGCGGACAAAGGTTCCTGCTACTGCCAAGTTATTTGGGGACGCCTGTGTTCCTCATGGTTGGGTGGTCCCTCCATAAAAGTGGTCTTTTTATAAGTTTTCACCTATTCCAATAGCTGAAGGGACCCGAAGAAGTTTCTCGTTAGGGGAAAGTATATATTTGAGATACCTCTATTTGAAGTAAGTCGAACCCATAATTGGTATGGCTCAGTAGGCACGTGGAAGCACGGACGCAAAACATTCAGTTGATATCTTTACCAGGAGGGTGCGCATTCAAACGGTTGATCTTGAAACCAGCCTGTTCAATTGCTAGAGCAGAGAAACAAACGAATGACATACTACATTTAAATCTATGTAGTTGTGAAGAAAATGCTTGGTCCTTTTCAAAGTTCTGCACATCCTATGGGATGGCACTGCCAACAGCAGTATTGAGGACGAAGTCTGCGTCGTTGTACATTTAGTGAAGAACCGACGAGTGTGAAGTGAGTTGAATAAACTGCTTGAAAGAGTTAGCACCTTGTACACGATACCTGAGATTCTGATGAAACGGTCTGCACCCAGCGGGATCCACGTCGTTTGAAGGTGTGCTGAAATTTTATTCGTTTGTGGTGTACACAAAAGCTTCACATCGAAACTTCATCATCTGGACAGCTTCTGAGGGTTTACTTCAGACGGAGTTGCTCTTTATTGACGTGGTGCTACAAATTTTGGGGAAGGTTCATTCCTCTCACGTAAAGTGCGTCAACTCACACTGGCTATTCACTATGTTTTGAAGGAATTGAACAAACTCTTGAGTGTCTTCATTAGAATTGCATGTAAAGGTTCAATTCAATAAGGGTATACCAGGAAAAATGGTCCGTTGAGTAGCAGGAGAAGGACTGATTCACGTGATTCGCCTTGATATCGAAATACGTAGTTGAACCTCATACGCGTTTCATCGCTTGCTTATTTGGTGAATCAACAGAGTGTAACTATATGTGAAACACGCGTGATATTGAACAGACCACAAGCGGAATTTAAGTAGTACAAAAACACAAAAAAGGAAAAACATATCACATCGATATCATCATATCGAAATAGAACCCTTATTGAATTCAGCCGAACTTACAAAATCGTGACGGAATCTGGCCGCATATGTCAGCAGGCGTTTTCGCATCAGCAGTTCTTTACTCTGTGTCCAAGACATCCACTCTGAATTCAATCGCTCCGACTGACGAACAATCATGGCATCGTAGTGTTTCTGTGCCCGATAGAGTGGATGAACTACTCTTGAGACTCTGGACGGACCATGATGTGTTCGAAGTGTTGTTGGCTGATTGAAACCTCGTTGTTCTTGGATCACCAAGAGTCCAAACAAGGCCAGAATTACCGTCACACCGACAACAGCCGATAAATAATGAGCATGCCGGCAGCATGTGGCGCGAATTCCCAAAAGACACCCCAGATTTTGGTGAGATCCAAATGCAGGTGGTGGGGGAAAAACCAGCCCTGGTTCAGATGAAAATTCTCTAGAATTGGGGACTAAATTTGCCAAAGGTGAGGAACAGCGCCCTTCGTTCGACCCCATATCGGACACTGACAGCGATGTATTAGGATTGTGTTGTGAGGATCCCGTTCGTTTTCTTGTTTCTGAGGTTGGGTCGGGCGACTTGTCCCTCTAAAAGACGAACACAAATGGAGGTTACTTGTTCACACACCACCCATAATAAAAACCAAGGTTTGCCTAGACACAGACTGACGTTATTCATCTACATGAGCAACGTCTTCTGGTATAGGGGTTCCTTTGGATGTCGTTTTAAACCTCAGGTTCTAAGAAAGGTAAATTCAAATACTGTCAATCAAGCCTTGTTTCGAAGAATTCTGACTTGCCCTAAGAGGTAGCAGACAATGATAACATAGCTGTTTGCTCTCTTTTTCATGCATTTTTTCTAAGGAGACCAGAAACAACGAACTATTGAGACTTTCTCGGTAAGCTAAGAGTTGCACGGATAATACTGGGATGGCTCTTGTGGGTGATTTGACCTACCGGTGTGCTGTCTTGCCCATAATTACCCCCCATTTAGTGTGCCAATCACATAACGAGGATAACTCAATCATCCTGAAGATCTCTGGGATTTCTGTGTCGGATTGCAGCCCAAACAGCGTGTTTGTGAAAGGCAACGAGAAAATGAAGTATCGGACAAGGTTTCCCTTTAAGAGTGAGGCGAAAGTGCCAATAAATCACATATGGACATCTCTAAGTTTTCTAGTTTGGTCTGAACCACTATATGGTAGCTGAGTACAATATACATTGACCTTGGGTAGTTAAATAGCCGACAAGATATGCTTCAGAGCTGTGTCTGGATTGTTTCCATCAACTCGTACAATTCGCAAGTATTCTCCTTTCATATATAGCATGGGCACTTTCTCTGAGGAGTCTTAATGCGAGAAAACAGTCCCCAGCGCTTCATGAGGTTGTAGTCTTCAACTTTGACAAGGTAGAATTTACATTAGAACGCAATGTTTGAAACTGAAAAGAACTTCCCTCACACAAAGAGCAACCTTGAGTATACAATATTTCTTAATACATGACTGGTTCATTTACTTGTAACATGTGATATTGGCAGCCAATGCCACTGCGTGCCATGGGATGACAGGCAGTCTCCATTAGCGGGTTGACAACGCGGCGTCGGTTTTGTTTCAAATTCAGCATCGAATGAACACATACACATTAGCAAGTCAAACGCACACTCCTGCGTATCACGTCCATCTCTTATCGTGTAACTTTCATGAGGACCGCATGAAGTGGTTGTTTCCGAGATAAAAACGCAGCGGGTTTTTGAGAAGGACCCCGTTTTTTACGAGAAAGTACTCAATAGTAGTGGATAAGTTAGCTGCGTGTGCATGCATGCAACCCTGAAGTTAAAACAACACTTGGGAAATATCTTTGAGCTCGTTGGTTTTTCTGCACCGGAAAAACTAAAAGAAACCCAACGTTGTGTTTGATGGAACTGAGGATATTTTATGAAAAATATGATGTAAATCAAAAGGAGAGCTGTATTTGAGTCTAACATAGCGTCTTCAATCAGCCATCTAACAAGTATTTGAGACAATCTTTGCAACATGTTTTCACTCTGAGTAGTATATAGGATACAGAGGATCGACAGCTTTGTGAGTGAATTTTCCTTTGAAAGAAACTATACTACCAATCGTCTATGTGGGAATCTCCAAACCACTCAGTGTGAAATAACATTAAGTGTTCCTGTTTTGCTTTCACGAACTTTGTTCAGCGGCTTGGAAAAGGAGAATAAAAGCAACATTTTATTGCTCCTCGATACGTTGAGGAATGCGTCTGGTTCGTGTCTGGGAACAATCGAAAACGAAAAGGGAATAAACTGGTGAAAATCACTTCAAACTTAAAATTTAAAGGGTGCACGTTTTGTGTGCATGATATTCCACTGGTATTGACACCTATTTTGGAACAAAGAATTTCCGCGTACGGTTTGTTCGTACGGTGCATGCTATGATGGTTTTTTGATCAACGGCAGCTACGAAAAGGTTGGAACTAAGTTCTAAAGACTTGGCGGCCATAAGTACCGTGTTTTTTGGTTGCTCACTTTCCATCAATCGATATTTGACGGACAGGTAATGAAGTGCAATAATGCGCAAGTTATTGGACTTTCATTTAAACTGAGAAGGTTTATGGTCTACCAAGAGTGATTTATTGATATCGGATACCATTTTACACAGATTCGAGGAGATCATTCGTGGTGCTTCTATCCTGTTATTCGTTCGAACAGCCTAGCTCATGTCTTGTGATGAAAAGCACTGTCCAGATAATAATGTAAAACGGGTCAATCGATGGACATAACCGGAACGAATAGTGGGTAAAAAATTGGGCCTCAGGCCGACGACACACAGTATTCACAGCCGATAATATGTAAGTGTTCCAATGGTTAAACAGTGGTTAAACAGTGATGTCAGACATCAAGTATTCAAAACACGAATTCCAGGAATGAATATCACTCATGTAGTCTAATACGAGTCGAATTCGAGTTCGTTTTTTCCTACTGGAAGGTAGACCCACCGGGGTAACCACAGCAAGTATCCTTCAAGCCAATGTAAATACAAAATCCGCAGCCACTAAGAGATAACTATGTGTCCTTTCTGAGGAGGCTTCCAAAACAAATTTCCTCAGTCTTTTATTTATGCAGTAATGTGCTCGAATCAAGTGTGAAATGAGGGCCATTTGTGGCGCACGGCTAACGAGAAATCGGTTCTTCATGAGAAATTTTCGACTAGCGCGCGGTCTATTGATAGTGAGGAGAATGAGGTGAGATTAACAAAACAACAGTTAGAAACTGTGACCTTGCAGAAAGTGACGGACGTTGGATAATACGCTCTTACACAATCTAGCATCCTCAACCAAAAGCTTGCGAACGATGACGTTCACCTAGCTGTCCCTGGAGAGCCTACGAATCGGGGGAAACGTTCAGGGTGTATTATAGAATGAATATGACAGTTTTATCACTGCAGGCAAAAGGCGAAAATGTGGTGGGGTGCAATTATTCAGAATGATATAGTGAGACCTCAAGAAAACTCGGGATTTCCAGGCTCAGAGATGTTAGTGATATCTTCTAGCTCAAAGGAATGGAGACCGGACGTGCCTTATTCAAATACACGAATGAAACATGTGACACCCGAAGGTTTAGCAGATTAGGCATTGAGGAAGCATAGCCTGATAAAGCAGAGAGACTAACCTGTGTGGCACAGAGCCCCATAACTTATGTTGGTCATAGTCTGAGGGATATATCAGTAAATTTTGATGCACTGGACAGGGCGAGCTGTAAAATTCCGAAAGATCATGTTAAAAAGAGTCTGAACTAAGAAGATCAGAATCAGCCGTTGACAGGGCTGTCTATAACCTAATGGCAATAATCACGCTTAAAAACACCATAAACCAGAGACTCAGCTGGGTCTGAGTTAAGTCTTTCGTCAAAACCAAATAGGTATGCAAATGAGTGGATGTTGCTAATCATTGTTGTTCTTACCCAGTTTATAGTTGCCCAATAATCACCTGCCAAGTGAATGCGCTGATGCATTAAAAATCTCTTAAAAAATTCACTTCCCAATCATCGGTTGAGTATAGAAGAGCTAAGATGGTTGGTTTCTTGTTTTCTCAGATAGGATAGGGTTTGATGTATTTGCGGTACTGGTACATTTGATGCTCGGAGCGTTTGCAGATTGGGTGAGAGAAGTTCGCTGACTCAGACGCATATGGTTCCAATCAGAAAGAGCTTCGCGGAACAAAGCTTAAGACAGTTGGATAGGTGTTCAAAACAGGAGAGGAAATCGATTCGAGAAACACAGGGTTTAGTCAAAACCAGTGCTACGAAAGCCGACCATTTATCCGATGGCAACTGCTCATCGGCAGCTGCCACAGGGCCTGAGAGTACGCATAGGGTAAATCAGAATGCTGGCTCTTCAGCCGAAGGTTCTGCCATCGGACCCAAATCTGTTTCGTTTGGGAAGCCTGCCGGGAGTTGCCTCTTCAGTGGAAAACCTTAATATGTTGTCGCCCAGTAAATATTACGCAGGAAACTCTCTGCCTCATATGCTGTTAAGAGCTAGGCATAGCGGTCATGATGACGAAGCGTGTTGAAAGTGGTCGCAATAAATGCGGCTGCCACAGGTCCGCGGAACAGAAACGGAGGATGGCTTTACATAATTGTGGTCACAGGCCCTGTGTACAACCTACCTCCTACATACGCCACTACACATACTTCTGATCTGGGGGCCTGCGAGAACGGAAACCAGCAGCATTCGCATCAACCCATCTTCGTCGTGTCAAAAAGTTGCGCACTGCATGCAACGCAAGAAGTAAGCCGACTTCTGTAGAGTTTAAATCCTTGCTCTGCCTATTCACCTTGCATATCAGCCGATCTGATTGATAGGACCGTGTACTCCATAGATAACCGGAATTTCACTGTCTGTCATTATCTGTTGGCCCGATCACTGAGCGTTATGTGACCTGCTCTGATTGTTAGATTTTGTGCAAGGAATTCCAGTTGATAAGAAAGCATACCCAGCTCAGAGCTTGTGGGATTCAGTAGGCAGATCAACCAAACTCGGGCGGGTTTTGTGATAGATAATCTTCTCAATTACCCCAGGATAGTCAGTCTCATCTGCGACACCCATATTTTGCAAACCATTCAAACGGTGCGCGGGAAATTTTTGTGGATGGAACAAAGGGACACCAATCGTCGAGTTATCCTCTGAGCAGTATAACAATACGTGAATGCAGCATCTGAGTGTGCAAGCATAGATAATGATCTGACCTCTTAGAGTCAATTAAACAAACATCAAGCAACTGATGACAGTGTGAGATTTGAAAATTTTAGACTGCAGCGTTTTCGTCCAGGTAAAACTGATCTATTCTGATGAACTTTTCCGACAAGCATAGTATGATTGTTGCATCCTTACTGGGAACGGCTAGGAGTTGGAATACTCATACGTTCGATCCAAAGTGGCCCAGCAGCACTGTGCTTAGCCCACATTCAGACAGGATATATCATCACATATTCTTCGATCACGGAATCCGCATCGTGTGATTACATTTCGACTGGCCAATCCAGTGACGAATTCTCAGATTAGAGTCATCACAAGACAGTCAATAGGCAACCACAACTTTCCGTCTGGCTTTGTGTGACAGTCAACAAGCCTTACCGAAGTATTCAAAATATCATGTATTTTATTACTGCGAAGTATATTTTCACGCAAAGATTTATAGAAAAGGCGGCTCAACAACATAAAGCGTACGATCAAATTCAAAGAGTGAATAACTTGTGCTTCCATATTGTTGACTTGGCTGGCCGCATCGATGACGTACAATCTCGTTACAGTGTTGAGAATCTGAAGCCGTGATTACACATTTGCGGGGCTATCCATCATCAATCCCGATTTTAGCAAATTTTAAGATCAATCTGAGTAATGTCTTGAAGTAGACTTCTGAGGTTCAATACTGTTTCGTCTGCTATATACATTTTTCAAATGTATTGGGTAAGCATATCAGCAGGTTGTCCAGTTGAATTGGTTTGCTTAGCACCAAAAGGGGGCGACATAATAAATTTGGAAGGGAATAAACTTAGGCAAGTTAGAATGCCAAAGAACAACTAACCATTTTGCGGAGCCCAACTGTTATTTGTGATGTGACTGATCACCAGAGAATAGAGAGGACGCGATGAACCACATATCTAGTATCTGGTCTGGAAAAACATCCCACAGGCAGCCTCAATAAGAATATAGGACTCAATGTTTGTGGGCTCAATTCACGAAATATCTGTGTAAAACAATGACAGCTGATCTAGCGTACGCTTATATGTAGTATCGCTTTTTAAGCCCAAGAACCAGATAGTATTTTCTACTACTACTGAAGAAAAACTCATTCACCGGTACATTTGCAAAGCATCTAAACTCGGATCCTTTTTTTGAGCGCAGGAAGTTCATTGTATTACAACCAGATTAGTGAAGGTTTTATGGCCAAAACAGCTATTACCCTAGGCACACACGGAAACAGGAAGGGGAGAATGAAGGGAAGAGGAGATAGACGCAGTTCTAGACAAGAATACGAACAAGATGCAGGTCAACAAGTTGAATATGTTTCCAAGGTTCTGTCGAATTCCACACGATCTCAGTCAACCATTTATCCGCGACAGAATAATCGTGTAACTGTGGGTATTCGACTGAAATTCAGCACGTACTTGTTCGGCCGTGCGTGCGTAAATCCCGGCGTTTGAGTTCAAGCATTTGGCCTCAAGCTATTTTTGAATGGGTTCGACCAGACGTTTTGTTACGACGACTAAACGGGATAGCATTTTCCAAAATCACACGAAAGAGCTCATCTGTCCAACGATGCTCAAAAAACAAGTCCATTTTTCCAACGTCTAGCCGTTGGAGGAACGAATAATCAAATAATGCGTTACTTTATTCTTAATCATTCTGTAACGTACTTGCCTTCAGAAAATAACGGTGAAGGATCATCTAAAAGCCAGATTTTCTCAGATATAAAAACTGACATCGCTTAACCAGGTTTATTATAATTTATAAGTGTTATTGTATCTTACAGACCTTTAAACCAATTTCGATATCAAAAGTCTAGATATGTAATACGCGCAAGGGACCAGATTATAAAGAATTCCCCACGTTCGCCGTAAAAACATCATTATGCGGATGAAAAGATTTTTAATCAAAAAGGCGTCATAAACCACCGGGGCACTTTTTGGTTACTACATGCATTCCGAAATTAAGATGTGTTTTATTACTTGAAGGTGGCCTTGGGAACTGTAGAATGCTTATCCACATCAGTGTTTTTGTGTGGTCCTCATCCCCTCCTGACTAAATTATTCGTTTTAGTCCGTATTAAATAGAAGGATTGGAGTAGAGTATCTTACGTTTTAGAGCTCATTAGCACTGCATAACTGTGACCCTATTGAAGGTGAAGCCAGGGAAATATGAACTAGACTAACGCACAATGTGACCCTCTGATGTATCACGCTCAATAGGTGAAAGCGTTCATGCTTGAGCGCAGTGGTCAGCTTATTCAACGCCTCAAACGAATTTTCAATGACTTCCTGTGGTTTTCATTTACTGGACCGTCTACCAAACACCCAGATTAAGAATTCCGTCCCAGTCAAATATATATATATATATCGCATAATATAAATGTAGCATTTTATTGATGTGAATTCTACTTGTTTCGTTTTCTTAGGCGAACTGGGTGAAATTTTCCCAGTCAACCCAAATTCCGAAAAACCCACAACATGCGGTTAAACTGGCTCCCACTTTTTAATCAAATCACAATTCGGATAGGCAGGCTGTCTCCGCTTAGGGTCCAACGGTGACCAAGTAAAAAGTGTTTTTGGCAGTTGTTTTGAAAAGTTTGTCCGTCACTCATGTGTGCGAAAGACCAGTAAATAAAAACTTTTTCACTAGAAATCGTCTTAGTCGGCATTCACTGCTTTTCGGAATTCCACCGAGCTTCTGAATATTTCTATATCACAGTGTGTTAAACAGTAGATAGTCCGTCACCGAGTGGAATATGCCCACAGTATTTTAGGACCGATTGGATAAAAAATGTCGTTGATCTCTATCTCTACTGCTTTAAGCTTCTCGTTAGATTTTGTTGTCCCTGATAGCTGTCTTCTGCAATGTACCATCGTACCATGCGACAATGCATTTGGGAGCACTTTCTAGTAATGTGAAATCTTTTGGAAGAAGGCGGGAAATATTACGGTGATTTGTTGATTGATTGAATTTCGAATAGGTCGAATATAGCGTGTTTCAAAACGTCAATGAAATAAAAAGGACCAAGAGTTGAAATTTGTTCTCCCGAACTCCACAAACCGCACTAAAAGTGCGATGAAAGTTGCCCTGCGGTTGTTTAATGCCCATTTTTCAGTTGACGCCTGATATTGTGTGTAAATTCAGTCAAACCTGCCGAGTTGACAACCAGACCTAATAGAAAAAACGGGCTAATCGTGATGTTTATGGTCAGTTTTGACAGGATTTTGAACACCATTTAGCTCAAAAACTCCTTTTTCTTGACTGACCGTTTGTTGCAACCTTCTGTGTTTTATAGAACGAATGTTTTTGATGTTTGAGTTTGCTGCTCAGTATCGTACAAAACGAGGCTCAACCATTACTTCGTTACCATGAAAAAGTAGACGATGAGGAGATCTTTGGGTTGATGCATTTTGAAGCTGGGCTCACTGATGTCGGAAGCTTTCGAAAACACAAAAAATCTGTCTGTAAACTGAAAATTATCACTTCAGTCGTTTTTTTACCGTAACTATGGAACGCTTATCCCATCTACTTGATGCGGTATCAGATACCACGTAAACTAGTGAGACATATTCCTAAACCTCATTGTAAACACAGATTTGTATTAGATCAAAGCAAAATCAACACCGTGATAAGCAAACTTGACACTGACCTCTGTAAAACAGGTTACAATAATGGATCTATCCTTATTCACAATGCCTCACTAATACGCAAGTGTCAGCTTTTGCGGAGTGTTTTCCTCATTTGCAACCCGATTTTGCTCTTGTTACCCTCTATGCAAAAACAGTTTTGTCTCCGTCCATATGGTATGCCTTTCTAAAGGCGGAGATTGAACAACATAGCCAATATGTAAACTGAGAGTATGCAATTTGATGAACCGAAAAGTGAGACCTCTTCTCCTACAGAGAGAAAGACACGATCGTGAATTTTGTTGTGAAGAGGGCAGTCTGATCAAGCTAATGAAAGATCTGATCAAAGCGTAATACAATCTTTTATTGATAGGTTGATAGGCAACATTTTTCAAGGATTTTTACAATCATTTGGTTAACTAACAACTAATCTCAGGGACATACCAATCAGAAGACACGATACCGTGCCCAAATGACGCTGCAGTTGACTCATATTCAATTGATTGAATAAATCCTTGAAAAAAACCTACGTAAGCCAACCGAAAAGTTGAATCATAATAGCTAGTTTCACTACATTGTGGTTTGAATTTGAGCGTTCCATATCATACACCACAAGGTACATATTTGGTTTGACGAGAGCCGAACCGAGTTTGGCTCGGAACTTCTAAGCATGTTCTTTCCATTTATTTGAGAAATTTTCGACTCCATTCCAACTTTAAAATAAACAAATGTATGAACTGGCTTCTTAGAACGTAATTATGGTGGACTGTAAAGATGATTAGAGTGTAAAACAGCAAGAAAACTCTAAGGATTACGTTGACGAACAAGAAGCAATATCGCATCTACGATGTCCGCCATAATCCATCTCGTCTAATCACGAAAACTCATGTTTCAGTGATTAGCTCCTTACTGTACTTGTTGAGTGAGCTTTATTTACGATAAACAGATGTATCCCCGGGTTGCATGTGCAGATCTGGACTGATCAGATGTCTTGTATCTGTTTGCGACACCAAAGGCAACGACAGATGTTTGTCTCATTTCCGTGTTTTAAAAAAGACCACAACATGTGGCTGGTGAAGAAACCAAGAAAGGTGTATTTCGAGAAACAAATATCAATACTTGCTTGCACAGCATTTGTTAATCTTTGACCCTCTGGATAATCTCCAGTTATTCTTAAACAATCACATGAATCGACTAGTTTTAAAAAAAATTGTCCCATTTCTACGTGACCCTGTTTTTATCTTGTTTGTCCGCCAATTTCGACAGTATTGTAATAAGCATTAGTAGAAGTCAATACGATTTGAGGTCAAATAGTTGGAGCATCCTTTATATTTGTGTATGTAAGGGATATACCTGCTAATTTTGTTCATCTACTTTGGTCACAGACAGTTGTTCTTGCATCCTTCAGTTCACAACAAGGTGCTTGTAAATTCTATATCGTGTTTGAGGTTAACAGCGTCCACTACATGTTTTTCCAGTCTTTTATGAGGATACTATATGACTTAGAAAACCACTAAGGTAGAGCATAGCAGGGAAAAACTTAACGTTACAGTTCACCTTATAATGAAGCTAAATAAAGCAAAGCTTACTTCATTTTCCGTATGTTCGTGCAGACATTCGTATCGATTTTCTCCGACTGAAAACTCGTCCAGAAGCGCAGCGGTCGAAAGAACTTCCTTCCTATCCGAGATTGGTGTACAATTTCTTAAAGCGAACTTCCTGCGTTTCTTATCCGCTTCATTTTCACCGAGTGACATTCTGTTTGATCGGAATTCTAAATTCGGTGTTCTAAATTCGTGGAATGGATGTACATTTTTGGGCACAACGAATGAGGTTGATGGAAAACTAACGACACCCGAGGCATCGATGAACATTTTTTGTCCAAACCAAATCTGACGCAGAATCAGGTAAGTGTGGTAGAATCTGTAGGCAATAATTAGACAATCTATGGCCAAGAGAAGGAGACGAATTTCAGTGAGAGAGAATGCAATGAGTTTCGCGTCATGCTTTTTAAACTGAAATGTCCGATTTTCAAGCGTGTTCTGGTCAAAATGATCAACAGAATTGCGAGGAATTTTGTCCGCAACTGCCGTCAAAATCGCAGTTTGCTAAAGTTGTTTAGCTGCCAACATGTGATGATGTTTTCACCGGCAAACCTTTGTTACAGAATGAATATCCTTTGAATGAACAGGTGTTAAGCTGCTCACTGCAATCAGCCTGAGCCCTTGCTTGATCAAACAATTCTTTTGCTGCTGACTCATTATCATTCACAAGAATGAGCTCTTGCTCGGTGGTTTAGTGGTTTTCTAACAAAACACACATGAATTTCATTGATACTAAAACTACCCACCAACTTCCGGATGTGCGTTTCCATTTTTGTGTGTGGTCCATCGAGAGGCTGTTTATTGAGAAGACTTCCTTTTGGGTCCTTTTATCTACAGCAGCTTCCAGGAGGTTGTCAGGAGTGAGGACAAAAAGACAGTCAGTTGGGTTGCGTGAGCTCTCAAGCATTGGCTATTAGGCTGTCCTGAGACGCTTAATGACAACGCGGGGTTCATAAACCCACGAATAATATCTTGCGTTATCTTTAACATCACAAAAATCACTAAAATCGACAGGACATAACCCGGATACGAGTGTGATCACGGTTAAACGTGATGTAGTGGAACGTAGCTCCATCGATTTGAAGGCTTCAAGTATTTCACATGTTTCATTACTTTTCACCTTGTAAGGAAGCAGATACAAGTTTGCCTAAACGTATCCACAGTCGGTCGCTTCATTAGCCGTCAAAGTATATCAGATTAAGATGGTTGACCACGAGCATCTACACCAAATCCCCGTTGGTGATAAGCCTGCGATGAGCAGGATTTGACGTGGCGGTGCAAGAGAAAATCGGCTATCCTCTCTACCAGTCCAGTAGAAGCCTTCGCAAATGGTCCGTACGCAGTAAGCTATGATATGCTAGCTAGTCCACTGGTGCTCAGGATTCATTCCTGCATTTTTGATCGGCTATCCTCTCTCCGAAACCAGTAGAAGCCTTCGCAAATGGTCCGTACGCAGTAAGCTATGATATACTAGCTAGTCCACTGGTGCTCAGGATCCATTCAAAGACTGCATTTTTTTACCAGGAAATCAACCTGGCTTATCTTTTACGTGGTTCGCGAACGATAATGAGTAATCACACAACTGACTTTTTTTAGTAAATCGACACTAATATATAATAATCTCAGTCATTTTACACTCACCTAATTTTGTCAGGGGAACACCGGTTGTTGAAATAACTTCAACAACTGGCTCCTTCATACTCTTGGATAAAACCATCCTTCATGGTTCTACAGCATTCTGGCACCAATATCAACTACTAATGCATCATTACCCACAAGAATGTTAATGGTGACGACGAAGATTATGGCACCGGTTTCCCAGACATTTGTTCTGGCGAAGAATGGGTCGGAAGTAACGTCAACCCAAAATTCAATTCTCCTAATGTACCCTCAGCAGCATAAATGGGACGTAATCATGAAGCGATATGAAAATTTGTGTAAAAAGGTGGGACCCAGCGCCCATTATCCTCGGTTTCAGGGCGTTAATCAAGGATTCGCACAAACTCATAAGGATAACAGGGCGGCAGACAAGAGGTGGTCAGTAGAACTGTCAAGACGTAATTGACGTCCTATATATGTGTCGACTGGAAACCCAAGACAAGAGTGATGGATCAATCGAGATCACCAAGCAAAGGTGTGATACATTCGTAACAACTCCACAGGACGCCATGACCTTAGTTCCATTAATAATAATTTGATAGGGTGGAAGACAGAAGATCGTGTGTCGACTGTATTCCGTACAAGTCAGTCACACTGCTGATACGTGACCGAGTGCTATATTCTTCAGCTTCTTCCTTCAGGATTTTTCCTGACCACATTCGCCTGTTCAGGCGCGATAATTCAGATGCGTCCAGCGTGCGTGGGTGGAGTAGTGGTTGCACGCTCGCCTCGCATGTCAGGTGTCCGGGGTTCAAATCCCGGCACGGCCTTTGGATATGCACAAAAATACCTATCCCGCAAAACCACAAAATTGCATCAAAAGTTGTCGTTCGAAAATCTCAAGTTCGAAACAGCTGTGATGAAGTCGGATAAGGCAATACAGCCGTAATGTTCGCAAATTTCGTGAGACTTCGTGATTTAATTCAGTGTTCCATTATCAAGTCACATATATGCCCCTGAATTTCTTTGAGCTTGGAACTCAAATGCATGTGTGAACATCCCTATTGAAGTAAATTCTGTTTCCAATCTATGTTTTCTAGACCCGTAGGACAATTGATAGCTCACACCCAATGAACCAGGTTCATCTATGTATCCTTTCTAAACCTGAATGTGGATACAACTCGTGAGATATACTATGTTCCGAATTTCAAACTTCATGAGAGGGACATCCAGAAGCTGCTGGAAGGCAACAGTTGGATGCTGTTCAAGCGATTCTGTTCGTGCATTCTGATAAGCCTTCCAACACTACCCGTCAACAAGGAATCAATATCTTGAATGTTTTGTATGACTGTGGGCCTTACATTGGTGGAAGCTGCATTGAAGACACTAAAAGAATGTGAATATCGAATAAACTTTATGACCGCGAGGGTGTTGCAGGGCATCAAAGTTGTTCAAAGTTGTTTTTGACGTAATGGGCTGAACAAGCCATCCGCAAACGGAATACCGAGCCAACCCAAATTCATAAATCAAGACAACGGCTAGGGAGATTTGAAGCTCTTCATCGGAGTGTCATCTTTCAAATAAAGGACACTCCTGCGAAACTGCCTAACAACACTGTAAAGCTGTCATGTCCCGGCTGGAACCCATTGGCACCGTGCATATCACAAACGTCTGGGCAGATTTGAACGCGTGACGTTACTTGTAGTGACTCGTTGAGTGGTGACATTTCCCCGGAAGGCCACCTGTAATACTGATAAATTACGGAAAAGAGGCAACATTCTAAATGTATTGACCTAACTGTCTAGCTAGGATTAACGCTACACTCATGCCACTCGTTTTACCATAACCCACTGGAAACACGTGCTTACCGATCGATAAATACTGGGAGCGGTTCCTCTGGTCGGTTGGTGAACATTAAATACCGTATCCAAACGTCCAAATAATTTTCCCCACTTGCAAATTCGGTTAGTATTTTTAAAGGGGGAAATGTGGCACTGCCTTTTCTTTTCAAGCATTCCTACAACAGTCTACCAATTCAGTTATCAAACTCTCAAATACTCATGAAAAAATACGGTTGCAGGAGGGCTTAAAATATTGTGTGGAAGATCAAGCAACTTGTTTGACTTACTCATTTAACAGTTGCATCGGGATCAAGTGGACCGATTCGGCCTGATGAAACCCCATGAAAGTCATCAGTTTGACCTGCTTCTCATCCAAACCGGAACTTCGTTGTGCGCTCGTATAGTGGCTTTGTAGGCTACTGATCCATCGAGTTTGATCGAAAGATAAATTTACCACGGGAGTTTGAGAATGCCGGTTAAATATTCTGGCTGTCTCATAGTCCACTTGATCCGAAGTGTTAACCATTCGTTGTGCGTAACGCAACCATCCTGACTGATGTACACGTTCAAGAAACTCATGGAATTTTCGGTAAATTTCAGTGTTCCGGAAGTCCATTTGTTGCTCCATTCGCTCCCGGTATCGATCCAGTTTTAGGCGCTGTTCCGAAAACGTCAGTTTTGTTAATAGAGCACTGATTGACAGAACATCTATTTGACGTTTTCCCGGTTCGTCATATTTCTGATGTGTCGGCTTCGTATCGCGCATGATGGACAATCGTTCACTCACGAGTTGCTTCATTTCCCGAGCCGCGTCTGTGATTTCTACTCCAACTGCATGTTGACAAGCATCTTTCATGCGACTGACATAGTCTAGCTGTCGGCGGAGTTCTTGTTCAGCGTACGATTCTAACAATCTAGCTTCTGCCTTCAGTTGCAAAATTGGACCAACCAGCCGACGCTTTGAGAGACGCACACGCTGCATTGTGCGTGTAGTAGGTTTTTCTTGGGAGATTGGGATACTGTCTCGCTGAGAAACAGCATTATCGGAAAATGCTACTACAGGTGGCTTTCGAACTTCAAACGGTGTTGAAGGGGATTTTGGGGTCGGTTGTAAGCTGAATATCAAAGAGACTGCAACGCTAAAAGTGAATAGAAAAGTGTAAAAAACCCTAAAAGCTAAATAAGCAAACAGAATAACGCGGCGATGTTTGTTCATCGATCGTCCAGCTGTTGTATAAATAGTCGGTCGGGAAGTTCTTAAGGTGTAATAACGTCGTGTGTAAGCCGGTTGAATAACTGGATTATAGTACAGCGACTGCTCCTCACGGAAGATACGAGTATCACCAAGGGTTTGCCCCAGGTAGATGCAACCTCGTCTCCCGAAGTCCAGAGACTGCTGGGTCAGAATTATCTGACGAGTTATTGCGGTGGGATGATTATAATGTTCCGCGCTGCGCACATCTAGCAGAAACTTTCGATTGGTTGCCGAAAACGAACGTAGTACAGTGTGGATGACAAATAACAGAAAATAAAGAATGCCGACACATGAAGAGGCAATAAACAGGGGCATGTATAGCGCTCGCCGAGGCTCATCTAAGAGATATTCCTCGTGAGACATGGTGGGGAATTTGGGAACGATGGGTTTGTGTTGAGAGGTGAAGCTTGTATGCTCAATCAGAAGCAATCGACTGTGATGGCAGTCTTCTAATATCAGACGGAAAGATGGTTCAAGCCATGTTTCTTGTTCCACTTCATCCGTAGGTGTTGTTTGAATTCGGTAGACAACTTTGAACTGTTCAAATTGTGCCTGAGATTTCAAACGCGATTTGGTCGCATTCGATGCTAGCACCAAATAATCATGGTACACCAGACAGTTTTTGTCCGTTTGGCGGAAAATTCGAGCGTTCAGATAGGCTGGAGTGCCAGTCACGTGACCTGAGAATGGGGATGTAGGGGAAGTACGTCGTAAAACGAATTTCAGTGTCGACAAGTACTTAC